TTATTAAAAATTAGTCAAAATGAGAAAATACTGTTTTGTATTGTAACCTCAGAAAAAAGTATATTAAGGCTTCTTTCTTTAAGAATATTAATTATTATAAAGGACGAGTCACATAAAACTCCAGAAATGCATATGTCTGAAACCAGATAACATTTTAAAATTTAAATCTATTAAAAGTCATTTGGTCGCTAGGGATGAATGATTATCGAAATAAATTATCGATCATTGAAAATAATCGATTATTTTCGATCAATCGATTATTTTCAAACAATATATTTTTTGTCATTTCCTTTAAAATCGACTACTTGATTATCTTTGAAAAATCAAAAATAATCGATTAATTAAAAAGCCAATTAACCGATAAATCAGTGTTTACAAAATATAATATAAATAGAATTATCGTTTATTTTAAATAATCGATTATTTTCAAATAAACCATTTTTTTTTTTCGTCCATGGAAACAGATTATTTGATAATCTTTGAAAAATCGAAAATAATCGATTAATCAAAAATAATCGATTAATTAAAAAGTCGATTAACTGATAAATCGATTTAAAAAAAAACATAATGATCGATTATTTTAAATAATTGATTATTTTCGATCAATCGATTATTATCAATAATCTATTTTTATTGTATTTCCTTTAAAATCGTTAATTCGATTATCTTTGAAATACCGAAAATAATCGATAATTCCAAAATAATCGCCTAATCGAAAATAACCAATTAATTAAGAAGCCGATTCTATGATAAATCGATTTTCCAAAAAATAAAACGAATTATCTATTATTTTCTAATAATCCTTTTTTCATATTTCCTTTGAAATTGATTATTCGATTATAGAAAATAATTGATTATTAAAAAGCTGATTATCCAATAAATCGATAATTTTAAAAAAATAACCAAAATATCGATTATGTGAAATAACCGATTATATTCAATCGATTATTTTCATATATCTTTGAAAAATCAAAAATAATCAAATAATTAAAAAACCGATTAAACTATAAATCGATTATTTTGAATAAATCTACTTTTTTTGTATTTCCTTTAAAATCGATTAATACATTATCTTAAAAAAAAACGAAAATAATTTATTAAAAACAGCGGATAAATCGATTTTCATTAAAAAATATCAGAATTATCAATAAATCGATTATTTTTGTAACCCCTATCGGTCGCTTGCTTTTATCTGAGCATTTAGCTCCAAAATTTAGAGATTCGGATTTTTTGATCCAGTTATCTTTGAAATCGCATTCGATTGTATAATAAATAAATATTGCTAAATTTTGGATTTTTTTTAGTAAACGAAAATTATGTTCGAGTTGTTTAGGGGTTTGTAATGTAACATTTTATTAACGTGACTAAGGGTCGATTCCACCGTTGTGTTAAACGAAGTTTAAAATAACATTTTTACATTAACACTGTCATTTTAATCTCCGTTTAACACAACGGTGGAATCGGACCTAACTCCTGTAACTTTAGTATTTTTTTTTTGCTTATACTAGATTACTTTGTTTTAAGACTGAAAATTCAATGTCACTTTCGATTTGACCGCAAATAAGATGAACCTTGAAATTTTAAGTAGGTCATCCTGTATTTCATCTAATATTCTTATAAAAATACCTTATAAAAATACCTTATAAAAATACCTTATAAAAATAAAATTTAGCTAGCAACTATGATTCTTTACCTCTTATTTATCTACCAAAAAGGGCTAAAACTATCTTTAGAAAACATTCTTATAAAACTACTTTTTAAATACAAAATTTCGTTAGCAATAATGCCTATTTACTATTTATTTAAATTAAATGTTCAAAATTTTACCCTTTTGTAAATTTATGTAAGTAATATGAAATTTGATTTCTGATTCTTAATATTTATTGAAACCCCTTAATGCGGATCTGAAGTATTCAGCCCAGAGAATCATGGCGCTTTATGTCAAAACGTTAATAAATATTTACCGCTGAAAACGAATATATTCATAACAGTAGTACTTGTATTATAAGTACATACAATTTTTCAAGATACATCGTGACATTTTGAACTTGAAATTGAATAACTAGAACACTTTAAATTGCTAAAATACCAACAAATAAATCAAAAACCAGCTGTCAATGGTGATTAAACTCAGGTGGAGGTGATCGCTGAATGGAAATCGGAGCAATTCGGGTGGCGTCGTGCAACAATGATTTTCAATTGGTGGGTTACTTTGGCTTAAAATAGACAACATGCGCAGTGTGCAATGTTACATCTTCGGTCTCTTTAATCTAAGGTTGAAATACTATGCGACTTGACCACACAATGGTGTGGAATATATATAAGCATTGATTGAGGAAAGCGACTGACCAGAAATTAATTTCATATGGCCATTTATTTAAAAAATCAGAATATTCTTAATACAAAGTTTCATTCTTTAATAAGGGATGTTCGAGATAATGAAATCGAGATAAAGCAAGATCGCGAATACCAGCAAAAGGCGGAGGATCACTTTTAAAGGGAAATGACACAATATATCAGTTATAGTTATAGGAATCTAAAAACAATTTTTCACACAAATCGTTATAACTAGAAATAGTCGTAGTTGCCAAAGATTAGTTAACATATTGTTAAGTTCTCGAATACAAGAAGATTTGCAAACAAACGTGGAGATAACAGGACAAGGTATTGGAGAAGTTTTCCCCAAAATTACGTAACCAAAACTTGCATGAATTGCATCGGGTTCAAACATTTTTCCGGAAACATATCCATTTAATAAAAGTTTTGGAAAGACATCTGCCCCAAGTAACAGATTGTTAGGACCTGGCATATAAAATGTTGGATCAGCGAGCGTAAGATATAAAAGATGAGTCCAATTATTAATAGGTAATGTAGAGCCAGGAAGGGTATCACATGGTTTTACGTTCATGAAGCGCTGGTGTGGTCAAAGTTCGAAATAAGCGATTTGAGACAAAATAAGCGCGAATTTTTAAAATGAGAAAATAAAATTAATTTATTCTTCAACAATTTTACTGTCATTACATTTTGCACATAGAGGTGCTTTGACTTAGGTACATAATTTATAATTTTGTAAACATCCATTGTTAATAAATTTAATTTAAATAAATAATTGAATTAAATAAAATATATTTGAAAGTTCCAGGGCCATTCAATAAGTAAAGATACAAATGGCTATTGCTCAAAACCGGTTTATTTCAATCTTTCAAAATTAAGGCTATTTTTCAACATAATCACCCCCCTCATTTATGCACTTGTTCCATCTTTCTTGCAGCTTCCTAATTCCCTTGGCGAAGAATTCTTTCGATTTACCCCGAAGCCACTTTTACACCGCTTCCTTAACTTCCTCATTGTTAGCAAATCTTTTTCCACATAGGGCGTCTTTGAGTGGTCCAAACAGGTGAAAATTAGATGGGGCGAGGTCGGGACTGTGTAAAATTTGAGGTTATGTTGACATAAAATGATGAAACAGTTGATCAAAGCATATCCCAAGGTTGCCAACTAATACCCCTAAAAAGATTGTACACATTCATTGAATAGTTTTAAAATTATAGAATTTGTCTCTTTACTTATTAAATGACCCTCGTACTTTGGAACCGTATCCAAAGTTAGGAATGTTTGAAAGGCGTAAAATAAGTCACATAAGAAATGCTTGGGAGGATTTTAAGAACATTGATATTAAAGTAGTTAAGATTAACCGAAAGTTCTGAAAATCAATAGGGTTCTAAGTTAGAAGTAATTATTCAAGAAATTCAAAACCGCAAGTCAATCAGAACTTTCGTTTTAGAGTTATCGTGCTTGCTGTCATACGTATGCACAAACGGACTCGGAATGATCGGAAACGTAAAAAAAAGTTTTAAAAAATGGGGTAAGAAAAGTTTTTACGTCTGCACGAATGCAATACTGAGACCCCATAGGAAGGGCCTCAGTAATTTTCATAATGCAAAGTATTAAGTAAAACACAAAATGAAACTAGCGAATATTTTCCTTTGGAAAACAACTACTCCTTTGGCTAATACCGCAATAGGAATTTAATTATATTAAATGAAAAACAGCATAAAAATAGAATAGTTATTTATGCAACAAGTGCAAAAAGTAAGTGTTTATTGCACGTAAAGTGAAATAAACATTTTTTGCACGAGTTGCATACAATATTTTTTCTACGTTCATGCAAAAACCAAAAAATGTTTTATTTAGGCGACACTAAGTGCAGAAGAATAAAAAGCGTAATTTAATAGCAAAATATTTATTAACTAATAATTACCATCGATTAACATTGAAAAAGTACTATAACTATGTTAAGAAAAATAATTTAACCAAAACTTTAGGAACAACTGTGTTATGAACAATAATTAAGCTTAAACGTTGTTTTTGCCACTAATATTAAAAGTTAATGTACAATTTGTACAATTTTCAATATTATTATTTTTTAAAACGTTATACAATCTCACAGAAAATGAAAATGGACTAAATATTTGGCGTCGAATTGAATATTTATGTTTGTCATGATCATAAAACGCTGTAGTAAAATGACAGATGAGTGTAATAAAATTTTTATTGCACTAGTGCAATAAAGAACCAGTTTTTTCACTAAATATAGTTCAATAAAGTTTTGTTTTTTGCATGAACGTAGAAAAAATAATTTTTAACTCTATTTTTGACTTTCTAATCTTATTACATACATAATTATTGCACTGCTAAGCGTAAAATAATTGTATAAGAACAGGTACAAATAGTAAATTTCGTTCTACAAATTCGCTCAACATTTCCCGCATCAAATACCAATATATCTTTGATTTGAGACGCATCTCCCTGAAGGCATCTTCATCAACCTCCAGAGTAACGACCTCCAATTCCACATAACGACATCCAACGTTCGCCTTCAATTAAATACATTCATTTCGTGCGTCTTAAGCTCCCCACGTATTAACGAAAATACGACAAATGTTGGAAAATCTGAAGACTAAATCGCTGCTAAATGGACGTTTTTTTTTGTGTTGCAGGGTTTCGTAGCGTTCAGCTCGCAGGGCGACAGAATAGCGTTGACTCAGATAGAACAAGTGATAAACGGCAGCTACGTCGTTCTGGGCTACTATGATACGCAGGCAGACAATCTCACTTGGTTCGGCAGAGAAGTTTGGCAGGGTAAGTTGACAGAATCGGACTCTATTATCATTATTATCGTATATTTTGTTAAAGAAAATATATATCGCCCATTATATTTGGTGCCAAATTTATCAATCATTTATTTGGATACAAATTAATCCCTCAATTCTGAGCAGTGTTGCCGTTGCTATTACAATTATAACAAATCTATCACTAAAAAGTTACACCAGTACGTTATTAGGACTTTTAAGAAAAGAGAAAAAATCTATTACTTTTTAAAATATCGAAATTTTATGAGTGGCTCCATCTAAACTTCAGAGCCCATACTTAAAAAAATTTAGAAATCTATACATTTTTATTTCTGACTTATTTTTTTTTTTTTTGTTATTGATCAATTTTTAATTTAATAAAGGATTACCACCAGCCTTCAGCATTTCAGCATAATTTATGTATTGTTTTTAATAACGTACACCCCTTTAAGACTTTGAAGAAATATTAAATCACAAAATTTCACCCTTTGGGCTAACATCTTTAAAATAAAAAATTCACTAGATGAACCAAATGTTTAAAATTTAAAAAAAAATGATTTGTAGTTTATTATCATTACCCCATTCTTTTGCAACAGCAATTAAAAAAATTGAGTTTTGTTCATCAATTGTACGAGAATCCTTGACATTAGCAAGACGACATCTACAAATTTTATGTTCCATTTCCAATAATAAAATCACACAATGTTGAAAGTTTACGTGTTTCGTTCCCATAAAGCGTTCCTGAAATTACATGACAGCAGTTTACGACAGTTGACATACATCAATTCCCGAAGGTGATTCTTCAATTCCCGTTTCCGGAAAATCACATTACATACTATTTTTACGGTCTTTACTATTTAAAGTTAAGTGAACAAGGAATGGAAATATTAATACAACTATTACAATCTGCCACTGACTACGAATAACCTTTAAATTGGTATTTCCATTTGTCTCTCTCTCTCTCTCTCTTTATTTTAATGTTCTTTGTCAATTTTTGCATCTGTGGTGGGTAATCTGTGGTTTAAAATAAATGGTGATTTATATTATTTTTTTTTTTTATGATCAAAGAAACTAAATTTAAGCAAACGAATAAAATTGGAATCATAACACCGATAATCACATATTAAATTTTCCAATGCTTTTACTTCCTCATTTCAATTCCTGAAATTTCCCGTAAATTTCGTAATTTTAGGAATATAAAAACGTCGTAAACGTTAAAAGTCATCGTTGGCTTCATCCCAGATAAAGTTATTTATGATTTATAAGGGTGGAATCTTTAAGATTGCAATCAGCTAAAAACGCTCGTTCTGTCGGCTTTTATTTTCGTAACGGGTGTCATATCCTACTCCAGTTTTTCATTTATATTTAAGAATTTTCTTTTACGCTTATTACCGACTTGGCTTTAATAAAAGGAGCAGATAGGGTTTACGGTTGGTTGCGTTTACAAATAGATGAGAATCACATTTTTATATTCATTGATTAATTTTTGTTTTTATTATTTTTGTTTGTAAACTTTTTACATTATTTGAAATAAATATTAATATTAATCAATGAGAATTAAATACTGATATCATGTTGATGCTTAAAACGAAGTGGCCTTTGGCCTCAACAAATTTATTTAAGGAAATAAATGCTATTGTACTGAAACAAATTCAATGAAAACCAGGATAACATGTAAATACCTAAAATGAAGTGGTCTGCGGTCCCAACCAAATCATTCAGAAAAATAACTGCTATTAAATTAATACAAAAATACGTTAGAACTAAAAACATAAGTTTTATAGTGAAATGTATAAAAAAATTCAAGCAAGGTACATAAAATATAGGTATTGTAATTTACCTCTGAAGAAAATGATATTAAGCAATACTCAGGTATTTTAAACATTTTATTTGCAAAATCTTTATAATAAAAGTAATTTTTTTAATATATGGCAACTCTGTTACATATTTTAGATATCTTTTTACTGTCTTTATTACCAGATTTGTAATTTCTCATTTTGGGGAGAAGAAAATGTCTTTTATAACCTATAAAGAATAGGTAGAAAATTAAAATATTGAACGTTTAGTTTAAAAACATTGAGAAGACATCATTTATAAACCTCTATTACAATTTAACATAGAAAACTATCAAACGGACCCGAAATTCTTTAACGATCAATTCCCGACTATCTCCAATTGTTTTACTTTCTATAAAATAAAACAAATTCTACCCGAACTTTATCGAGATCACTTAACTACTAGCAACTTTAGAGATTATCCCTCCCTGGCCATAAAGCCGACGTAATCAAAGTTGGAGAATAATCTGGCAAAGTCTATTCCAGGACAAACCTAATTTACATATTCGCTACGTAAGGAGACAGAACTAATCCTTGTTTTGTAATTAGGAGTCATAAAAATTGCATCCATGCACGGCAATGAGTGACGCGCACAGTGGAACTTGAATTTAATACCGTGGACATTCATGAAAATTATTACCTGAATGTGAATCAGAAAATTTGAGGGGGTAGGATTATTTATTTATGCTAACAATTTTTTATGATGTCCTGAAACCAATTTTCAAACATAGGAGCATCCATATCTTTATGGTATTCTTATGTTTTCTTTGACTGGAACAATAATCTGAAAACCAAGCATTCTAGTTATTATTTATTAATTTACTTTAATTTCCTTAAAGTAACTTCGTTTCTGTCACTTTACATTTATAATTTTGTAAAGCGTTTTGTATATTTTCTACTTTATTTTGCCTGATGTACAAATATATTAGATATAATTCCTATTAAGCAGCAGATATTCGTGTTAGCCGGAAATCGCAATTACCCTCTAGTATTTGCTTTGAGTTATTCAATAGTATATTTGTAGTCTAACCTGGCTTTAGTCCAGCAAAAATGACACGATAATTAAAAATATTGCTGTCCACTGCTTTTCAGTTTTGCTCCTTTCGTTATAATGTCCTTAGCAGATTTCACTATCTATATTTCATGGTCCGTACTTCGGTGTGCTGCAGAGAACGCATTTAAAGTTAATAACTTCCAACCAACTCCTCGGTAGTCGCCGACCGAGCACGTCATTAGCACTAACTTCTCTAGCTGGGAGTTCTTATCTTAGAGAAAGTTTACATATTTTTAATAACACAATGCGGTTTTAATTAATTATTTAATGCATTTTAAGACAATTGGACGAATGTTTATTGTGGGAGAACCTATTATATGTAGTTTCATCTTTAACTACAATTATAAAGAAATATTATAATAATAATAACAATAATAAACTTTATTTGCAACTTCAATTTTTTTATACAGATATAGAACATGAAAAAAATATGTGCCAAAGAAGACTGAAAAGAGGATTGATAAACAGTAGAGACCGATCACAGCACCATCCCTGAAATATGTCCGACTCCATAAGACATCATACAAAAATAATAAATATATATTATATTGTGTTATGTATAAAACACAAGAAGTGGCATAAGCAAATAAGGGGGAAAAGATAAAAAACTATTAACGGTGCACAGAACAAGATAATAATGATAATAATTTGGAATTAAAGTACAGAAATATGCATGACTTTAAATTTTTAAATCATCATATTTAAGTTAAATAATTTATTAAAGAGAAAGAGAAACGTACCATAGGAAGGTACCTAATTTAAGCCCAAATAAAAGGGAATGAACTGGTTCACATTGGATGATACTGTAGTTTTAATAAATCTTTGTTTTCTATGGAATATTCCTCATAAATAAGACACCAATGTCAGTGATATTAAAAAGTATTTCTTCTAAAGTAATCATATCCATATTAACACAAAATTTCTTGGTACCTAAAAATAAAAAAAAAATAAACATTAGTCATTGAAAATAAATAAACAAATTTCACCCTGGTATAAATTTCAGATTTTTAAAATAGAAAATTATTTTATAATTATTGAAACGAATATGAATTGTAATTAGTAATAATTGTACAAATTAATTTTAAGATTAAAATAAAGTGATAGTGATATAAACAAAAAAAGTGTGGTTAGAACAGAAATGGTCGCAATGAAATAATGGAAAAAAAAAATCGTAATGCCTATGGGAACATTCTAGAAAAAAATCTCCAGAAGAACGAGAAAAAACTGAATAATTAAAGTCAATAAGCCCGATTCGAGAAAATGAAAATATACATTTTTTTTATAAAAAAAAAGATTAGTAAGAAAATAACTACTAAAGACATCACAGATCTACACAGAAATGTTCCTGATAAATATGGTTACTACGTGAAAGGAAAAAGACTACAATTTGAGTAAGATTTATAGAAAAATTATAACTTACCATTTCATGAAACTGTCCTTGCTCACGAAGTTCGAAATCGCAATTGATTTCAGAATAATTTGGTCTCAGAATAAGAATGTTTCTAACATTTCACCGTGAAAACTTCAACAAACGATTCATAACACCTTCCTAAACAATTTAAAACTCTTTTTATAAGTGAACTAATTTAAAAATACACAAAAACTGGGTAATTTTTCTCCGAACATTTCCGTGCACGTTGTATTGCGGCCATTTTGTATATAGATAGTTGTAAAATTTAATCTTTAAAGTTGATATTTTCTTTAGTCAAATAAGTACGTCAATTGCCATCCGAAGTGGAAATGTAGGTCGTGTATATATTATTTAGATAAAATTCTACTTCTGCTAAATGATCTGTTTCCACCAATATTTTTAAAAATTTGTTATATACCTTTCTGCAGGATTTGTCGCTGGATGTCTTATACTAGTTGTTTTACATTCAATTTCATTCTTACTACAAAATTTAATAAATCTTTCATTTGCAAAATATGTCGCATTATCCAAAATTAACTTTTCAGGTTTTCCACATTCTCTAAAATATTTATTCAACTTTTCTTTTACTACAGAAGATTTCATACTTTTTGTCGGGTATAACTTAACATATTTAGATAAAACATCCACTGTAATAAAGATATTCATACTTCCTTGTTCGCTCTTTATCAAATTGCTAATAAAATCTATTG